AGAGGAGAAAATGATATGGGAGTTTTTAGACCTACCCTAACTGCCTTGGACCGGAAAACACAGAGTTCACGCAGAGCTAGACAAGACGAGCGTTTGAGGTTAAAAAGTATATAAATTGTAATTAAAAAAAAATAAAAAATAACCGATCGTTTCACTAGGGTCGGTACTTCTGCAGCGATGTAGGATGATTTTGAAGTTGGAGGAGACAATGAGATGGGAGTTTTTAGACCTACCCTAACTGTCTTGAACCGGAAAACACAGAGTTCACGCAGAGCTAGACCAGACGAGCGTTTGAGGTTAAAAAGTATATAAATTGTAATTTTAAAAAAAATTAAATAACCGATCGTTTCACTATATAAGACTCTTCTTCCTCGGCTGGGATCGTTTAGAGCTCTTTGAAGCTGCATTTAAACTGCATTTTGGACGTTCAAACTCAGGGTTCTCACCATAGAAGTCCATTATATGGAGAGAAATCCAAAATGTTTTCCTCAAAAAACATAATTTCTTTACGACTGAAGAAAGAAAGACATGAACACCTTGGATGACAAGGGGGTGAGTACATTATCTGTACATTTTTGTTCTGGAAGTGAACTACTCCTTATGTATACATAAAGATTATTAAATTGACTACAAATAACAATTTAATCATCACAACAGACATTATGTGGTCAGTAGAAAGGAAAATATAACACTATTTTTTTTAATACAATGACTTAAAGATTTACTTAAAGATTATTAGATTTACAACAAATTATCATTTAATTATTACAACATTATCTGGACAGTAGAAAAAAATATATAATACTGTTTTAATCAAATAAATATGTACTTATATGTACTCGGATCAGACTAGTCAAATACTTGCAAGCAGTGGTCATGGACGTATATGAATCCCATCTTAAAAGTGTCTACCACGGATTGCTTGCGTCAATCCTATTTGATTGTTTTGGAGGAAAAAGCAGTTCTACTTCTGCATGTTTCTCCAAATCAGCAGTTCATGCATCCAAGGGCACTGATGAGTCTGTGGTCAAGCAGTCCGGTTACAGCCAGAGCCAGAGTTTTGGACAAGAACATGGAAAAAGGCAGAAAGTTACTCCACCCATCCTCTGGAAGATACAAACGAACAGAGTTACAGACAGTCTAGACTAGATCCACTTCAAAACTGTACTGAAATCTATATTCTGGCATGTGCCACATCACAAGCAATCACCGTTTCATCGCGACAGCTACGCATGTAGTACGTGTTTAGCAAATCAGCACATCTGATTGTTTTATATGTGAAATAAATGCTGGATTTAGGAGGATGTCATGCTTGAAACATTTCTGACATTGCTGAAATGTGTGTTAAATCAGGAAGAGCAGTAAATGTCTCAGTCTCTGGGATTTACGCACGATGAGGACGCAGCAAACACGCTGTAGGCTGTAGGCCGACCACAAGCGTTCATGAGCTGAAGCGCTGGAGATATAGTGTCACCGGTTCACGTCCAGCCATCTTGTTCATATTAAAC